GGCCCGCCCCCCTGACCCGGCTGCAGCGGGTCCCCGTCCCCCGCCACCCGCGGACTGGGCAGTCGGAGGCGACGCGAGTCGCCCTCTGGGGCGCTGGGACCCTGGTCCCGCCTGTGCACCCCGGCGGGCGCCCAGAGGAAAACCACAGGTGTGTCCCCGGGGGGCATTATAAAAATGAGACATTATAAAAATGCGTGTGCGTTACTGCGAGGAAAAGGCGTTACCACGAAGTTTAGCATCCCAGCCACGGTGTGTGCAGGTCGGGGGCACTGAGCACTCGCGGCCCGCAGCCCTCACCGCCATCCGACAGCCTGTCATCCACCAAACAGACGGCCCGCGAAAGAACCGCACCCCGCCCTGCAGCACCTCTCCGGGGCCATGAGAGCGTACCCGCATTTACACCACAGGCGGGGGCACCTTCTGCTGTCCCGCAGAGACCCAGCCGGAACCCTGAGACACGGCAGACAGGCCCAAGGCTCCGATTTGCACAAGACTCTGAGGACAGCAGGGGAGGGGTCTCGGTGGCAGTCGGGCACCCAGCACCCCCAGGCGAGGACTCCTCCCTGGAGGGAAGAACGGGGCTGCCCGACTCTGAGCGTCTGGACCGGGTGCCCAGCAGAGCTGCTCAGATCACTCGGCCGGGCACGGTGCCTCTGAGGGGCCCGTGATGCCACTCGTCACTGCGGCCAGGCCCTTGTCCAGCCGAGGCCACTGGCCGCTGGTTCCCCGACCTGTTCAGCGGCGTTGCCGCCACCGCGACCTCTGCCGGCGTCCTCGGCCGGGACTCCCTCGGGAACCGCTTCTGCAGCCGTCACCCAGAGCCGGCTTCAGTGGCTGCGGAGCAAAGGCCGCGAGGCGCACACACGGGAGCTCCGAGCGGGTGCGCGCAGGCTCGGCGGTCGCCCCGGGTCGTGTTCATGTGCGAGAATGTGCTGCGCCCCTACTGTGTGTGAGGCACAGCAGGTCCTGGGGAGACGGCCTGAGAAGACCCCAACCTGTCACGAGGTTGGGCTGCCCAGGGACCGCCCACCAAGGCCCCCTCGATGTGAGTGAGGACAGCAATTTCCAGCCGCAGGAACACTGGGGCCACCATGCGAGGTGTGTTCCAGCCACCCAGGCTTCCGGACACCCCCTGACTGTGCTGGCGCATCCCGCAGTAGGGACTGGACTGGGCAGGGCGCAGAGAGTATGACCCGTTTCTGCCCCACGCCAGGGCCTCCCCTCAAGCCTCGGAAGCTCGGTGCCTCGACAGCAGGGCCAAGCCATCTGGAGGCGCCTTCCCTCACACTGGGGGTCCATGCCGCTGTCATCCGGGACCCCATCCGGCCTGCTGGACAAGGCGCCTCCACGTGGCTGCTGGGGCGTCCTGGCAGGATGGTGGCATCTTAGGGGCTTGCTGGGGCCCTCCGGGGAGTCGGGGTGTGGGAACCGAGGCCCGGAGAGGGGATCCGGCCTGCTCAGCTTGTGGCAGGATAGAAGTCAGAGCCCAGAGCCACGTCCCAAATCACTTCCCTGCACCCGGGCTCACCGCGTGGGCTCGGAATCCCCGCTTAGGCGTGGCCCTGGGCAGGGTCATTGCCTGGACGAAGTTCCAAATGACCAAGTGACCTGAGCCTGATGGAGGACAGTGGGCAGGGACAAGCGTCTGCGGACTCCAGGCCCGGTCTGGCAGAGGGAGAGAGGGCCTTGGGTGAGTGGAGACTTGGTTTCGGCAGGGCCAGCCTGGCCGGTGCAGGCTGTGAGGGTGACAATGACGACCGTGACAGCTCACTCACAGGACCTCACGACGTGCAGGCACAGTCATACTGTCTTCCCGCCGGCACCCCACTCACTGCCGGGGAGCAAGGGCGGGAAGTGATGTTCCAGCTCAGAGCTGGCTTCCGGCCCGGCCAAACAGCCACCCCGCTCTGCCTTGGGGGACGGGCGTGGGGAAAGATCTGCGCCCAGGCACCCGCAGCCCATGAGCCTTAGGGAGACGCCACACTCTGTCCCCCCAGCCAGGAAGCCTCCCTGCCCGGGTGGGCCGGCGGTCCCCTAACCCAGCTCTGCAGTCAGGCAGGCTGCGCTTCTCAGGAAGGCCGTGCCCAGGGCCCGGAGGGGCATAACAAGCCTGGGTGGAGCCCTGGGGCGTCCTGCCTGCCCTCCTGGCCCAGGCCCCTCAGGTCCTCACCCTCAGGCCAGGGTCATCCAGGGGCTGGAGCCCGGACACAACCTTTGCCCCCTTCAGGCTCCCCGTTCCGTCTGTCCCATGCCCCGGGATGGCTGCGGAGGCCGTCCCTGTGGCTGGACCTGGCTCCTGCCCCCCGCCCCTTGGCCCAGCCCTCCGCCCTGCTCCTGCGGCCGGACCGTCAGCTCTTCCCCCTGGATCCCCCTGGATCCCCCCACTGCGGCTCTGTTAGCCCTGAAGGTTGAGCCCCTTGACCGATGCAAACCGGTGACGTCCAGCTTGGGGCCCGAGTCACACCAGCTGCAGCCTCTGCCCCCGCTCCCGGCCCGGGCAGGCCTTCCGGACACACCGTGGGTTTTATTGAACCTCCTTGTTAATTGTACAAGTAACGCACGGATACATCTGGAGTGAATTTGAAAACAAATCCCTGACACCGTGTCATTTCACTCATAAATACGCGCGGATGCCAACGGGGCTTTAAATAACGGGCTGTTGGAACGATGCTGCTCCTCCTGTGACGGGCACGGCTGGGCTGGCGCTGACGGAGCGGGCGGTGTCCCGCGCGGCTGTCGGCAGTCTGGGCGTGTGGACGGTGCGGCCCTGCTCCTCCTCTCCGCCAACACTAGCCTTTCCCGAGGCTGGGACCGGCTCATGCAGCGCCTGTCCCAGGGCCTCCTGGACACCCGGGAGGTGCGATTCTCCGCGGTCCGTGAACACTGCGCCCACCGCCTCTGCCAAGACACTGTGTGGTTTTTGGATCATTCGAGGGGAGGTTCCCAGACTCCGGACTCCACAATCAAAGCTGCCGGCCGCAGATGGCTTTCCAAGAAGACACAAACACTGTCGAATGCCATAAATTACGGTGAGCAGGGCTCCCCCCTGGGTGGTGACAGCGGGGGAAGGGGGCCTGGGGGGGGCCGTGGCCTGTTCTCAGCCGCCCCCCTGCCTTCCCACAGTCCGTCCAGTGGACTCAGGCTATGTCACTGTCATCACAGAGCCAGGCTCCAGGGAGGCCATGTCTGTCCCTGCAGAGCTCCTGCAGCCTCGTGGGGAGCCCTGCCTGCGCCCCAAGGGACGAGGGAGTCCACTCTGTGACTGTGTCCTCTGGAGGATTCGGGTTGGGGTGTGGGGGGAGCAGAGGATGCTTGTTTTCACGTCTCCCGCTCCCCCAGTCTTGCAAGCTGAGGTCTCAGCATAGAGCACCCCAGACCTCGCCTCTCCCACCTGTTTCTTTCCTGGCCCAGAGCGGGCGTGGGACTGACCCGATGCGGCGTCTGGTGGCAAAGCCCGCCCACCCACACCCTCAGGCGACTGCCGGTTTCCTCTCAGCCCTGAGAATGATAATTCAGGACTCCGCCTGACCACGCGCGGGATGCCAGCCTGTGGACACGACAGCAGCCCCATGCCCGGCGACGCCCAGGTGCGAGGCCGCCACCTGTGTGAGCCTCGCACAGGCGGAGGCTCAGAGCCTCGCGTTTTGCAGACCAGGAAACAGGGTGGGCTTGGCAAGGCCGGCGCTGGTCCCGACCAGCCC